TCTTACAGACCTTCGGACAGATCGGAACTGCTCGATTCTGACTGCCAGAAATGGTCAGTGTGGTTTAGTTCGTCTTCAAGTACATAAATATATTTTCATATACATACACACACTCATAAGCATGGCTATGCAAGTAGAGCTTAGTAAACCAAATCTTTATGTGGTTCGGCTCCAACGATGCCTGCCAAGTGGCTCGACAAACTTTACTCTGTCGTTTTTAGTCCATCTTGTTGGTTATTCATTTTAATGTTCTTTTTGTCTAAAGCATTTTCAACAAGTTGCTTTTTTTCAGAAGTTACTCAAAAGTCATTCCAAACTATGGTCTGTGGTGGTGCCAAAAGAAAGAGAGATAGTCACTTGTGATGGACAATGAAAATTCCCTTTTCGCTCACCTTTCTCTCCCATTCCACTTTACCAGACGCTTTTTCGTCGCTTCGTCTCTGGCCAGTCCGTTGACTGGTCGGCCTACAACATCTACACAGTGGCCAATGTCGCCAAGCGTCTCCTCATCTCGTTGCCCGGAGGACTGTTGTCACCTGCTGGAGAGCACCTCCTCCTGACGGCGTCTCAAAGTGCCGGGCCGAGCTCTGCGACTGGTCGCGCCTGTCGCCATGACGCCAACGCAGTTACCTCAACACCGTCCGAGTCGAGACGATTCGAACGAGTCGACTCGGCTCCCGTCGAAAAACCGTCGCTGGAAAGGGGTGTTGAGATATGCTCGAGCAAAACCGTTGAACTTATGATCCCAACGGAGATGGACGAAAAGCTGATCAGGATCTTCTTCAGGTATCAGGTCTCAATTAACTCCGAGGCCACAGAGCAATTAAAGCTAAACATGATAATGACATACTTAATGTTGGCAGAATGAGGAGACAAATAAACTTGTCTCTGGGGCGAATTGTGCGACTCCAAATAAACAAGGTCTGCGAAAAATACTAGTTTCAGACCGGACGTATTGGGAACATTGCAACCCTTGCTTAAGTCTTTGTCGGACTGTACAATCTCGCACCGCCTGAGGAAGGTGCCACTAGTTTCGCGGCACAGAAAAACACGTTTACAGCAGAAGTTTGCATTACCGAACTTTATGGCCTTTTTAAGGATCTCTTCACTGTCCACTAAGTCGGACTGGCCTTCTGAACGCAACATTCGGTAATAATAAAATTCCAGACACTTTGTCTACTTTAGAAAAGATCTGTTTCTGTTTACTTCGAGATATTATAAAATAAAAACATAATTAAATCTAACGCATAGAGGCTGTATTCACTGTCTTTCGTTTAAAATGAGGACGTTCTGGTGGTTACGTTTTCTCATAATAAATAGAACTCCTGGTAGTCTCGAAATACTACTTATAATTGGAAAATAAGTAGTGTCGTCGATTGATATAGCAATTCCCACCACACATAAAAGAGGTATCGGAAAGGTCTAGGCTTCTTTAAATTCTCTTCCGCCCCATGGCTCAAGGGCGCTCGTGGCAGGCTGACCTAGTGGTTAACGATCGAGGCTAGACGCTGCACTAACACAAGCCGGGTTCGAGTCCCGTTGGAGTTGTTAATAAGACCAGTTGAGGCGAGTTCGAAACGGCAGACTAATTCAGTCTGCGGGAGAATAACTTTTGGAGGACAAGGTCTCGTGAAATGAGATGGAAACGTAAGGTGCAAACACAGCACATTTCTGTGATGGTATGCCGACGAAGCAAAATTGTATTTGCTATTGCAATCGACTACACTAC